ACCTTGACCTCGAGTTCCGAGGAGGAGAGGATTGGGCGCTTCGCCAGCGAGCGCCTCAGTTCCGAGTTGATGGTAGAGTCCATGAGATGTCGCGCGGCGTTTTCGGGCGTGAGATCGCGGGCCACCATGGATACTCTGGACCATCAGGAGTAGAACGCCCTAAGGCTTTCTCCTTCCTTTTGCTTCACATCTACCAAGGCCACAGTGAGCTGTGACCTCCACTTTTGCGAGGCAAATTTGGTAGTAAAAAGTAGGATGAATTCCTCGAAGGTTCGGATGATGCCGTTAGGCAGGCGATTATACCAATCGAGGCATATCCCCACAAACGTGGACGGGAAGCAAAGGGCGGCGTTGGAGCACGTTTGGAGTTGCATGCGAAGGCAGAGCACGGTCACGTGATCCTCCGGGTCGGTTGTTCCACTATAAATGGGGAGTGTGGGAAGATTCCCTGGCATTAGCTCCGCCATGATATTCGGACACAGGGGTTGGTGCAGAGTAATCCACGGCAGGGTGCGGTGTGCCGGAGAGAGGTGCTGCTCTAGGAAGTCGAGATCGTGGCGCGGAGCCGATTCCACGGGAGCATTAGTACCCGTGGTCGGTTGCGCGTTTGCCTAGGCGGTCATGAGGGCCATCATCTGGCTCATCTGGCTCTGCATGTGGACGATTGCCTTGTTTTGCTGCTCCATCTGCTGGCGGATTTTTGCGGGCAACAGCTCTTCTTCGATAAGCACGGCGTCCAGGTTTTGCGCAACGTGGAACTGCGTTCTCGCGTTGGGGTCGGTGGCGGCGTCGTATAACCTTTGGCTGGTAATGACTTTGAGCGGGGTGGTCTCAACCTCTGAAGGGTAGTCTGCGGCTACCTCGTCATCGTTGCTTTTGACATCGGGCCCCACGGTGTGCGCCAATTGTTTGTGCTGGGCTGGTGAGTAGGAGTCCGGCACGGGAAAGAAAGAGGTCTGATGGTCATTTAGACGAGAGAAGCGGCCGACGAGGTTCAGAGTTGGGAGAGTAGTTCTTAGAGAGAGAAGTAGAAAGAGTGATAAATGTTGGGTGAGAGAAAATCCGATCCCTTTGTCGAGGGGAGTAAATGTCGTATTTATAGTGTTTACAGGTTAGGTGGGTCATAAATGCGACAAGACAGGTCTGACAAAGCAGCTGTGTTTGTTCCCGAGGCGTTCCTTGAGCGGCGAGAGGCGGTTCCCGTGTTGCCTGCTGGGTGCTAACCGCGGCGGCAAGGTCCGACTTCGTACCAATCACGCCAGGTCGCTTTTAGTACAGTGGCAATCGCGGTGATAGCACTAACCCCAACAATCATACATCACATACAAAACAAATATATTAAATACGAGTCAAGATTTTAACAACCAAACTAGCTCGAGCTCGCCTCGTTTATTAACGAGCCGAATTCAACCTGGGGTAAAACTCGGTTTGACTTGGCTCATTTGTCGCCCTATTCACGTTGGTATAGATGGACAATATATGAGATTATTAATAAGTATCCATTGCTTTTGTATTCATGTTTCCTTGTGTGACAAACAAACTATATACGACCTTTGCTTCTGTACCTGCAGATCAATCCAGGCCTTTATGGTAACACTGCAAATCGGTATTTCATAGACACAACAACTGCCATCCCCTTCCCACAATGGCCCATGGAAGTGGAGGACAGCCATCCCTCAACTTACCCCGTACGTCTAGCTTAATGGGAATAGTTACAGTGCTTCAAGGTTAGGCGACTCTCTTGCTCATCCACTAATCTCCCTTGTGTTATGTATTGACCTTTTACCCATCAAGTACTTTTGAAAAGAAAAAGATGAGTTGCTTCGATGGCCACAGACCATTCATTCTCATTGGAAGACCAGAAGTACTGGCTGTAAACGGCCGGTGGGTAATACATATAGCAGTGGGAAATGAGAAACCGAGATTTGCTGCAAATGGACTCCAATCTTGTTTCCCACGTTACTCTACGGCCTAATGATTAACATTGCACAGCCACCTCTCCCACCATCATTCCACCGATCGAATCGAGTGTCGACTGACCCAGGAGACATTGCACGTTACTATATTTTGGGTTGAGCTCAACGTTTCAAGCAATGAGCTTTGTACCAAACTCGAATGATCAGTGGATCAAACTGGATTGGAAGTTGGGTTCATTAGCACAATAGTGTTCGTTTTGGGTCAAATTTGCATGGATTTGCTTTTGGGTATTGTCCCTAAAACGTCTCGTATTAATTGAGCTAGAGTGCTAGGTGGACACTAATATACAAACGTGTATTCTTTTGTATTCCTGATGTGGTACATGGATTGTATACCATAGCAATCATCCTCTAAAGACGAGGACCACAAACTTTGTGTGCTTCTCTCAGTGATTATCTGGACTCGCCGGATACTTTGTATAGATGGGCTCTGCGACACAAGGATTTACAATATGCATATCTCAATTGATTTGCACGGATCTTTTCTCCATCCGCCAAACATAAGCAGATCTCAAATCACGAGGACATCGAATGAGGGTCCACCAAGCTGAGTCCATCGTCCCGGATCCGAAACACCAAATCAACCTCTAATACCACTTGTTGGATCCGCGTACTCCATTAGTAACTAGTAAGATATTTGTTTGTTTCGTACCAAGGCCGCACATATTAATTTTTCGGTTCCTTCTTAAGAGGCCTCGTACTTATGAGTTTATGAATATATACAAGTATCTCCTCATTTGGATTTCGGATATGATATATGGGTTCTTCATTGCATAATTCATGGAAGAACTATAGTATGAGCTGGTAAGCAAAAGAACGAGCTGAAATAGTGAAGAAGCTGTCCAAGGGACAGCCTTGATGTCTAAGCAAAGAACTTTGGACCACGAGTGAGGCGACATTATACCATGGCCCCTACCATAACTTGTTACGGGCTAGTGCAACGTGAACACATATTGAAATTGTACTCCAGGGTTATATAAAAATGGTTGTGATATCTAGTTCCTATATATATAGCTTGGCAATAAAGAAAGAGAGAGTTGAAAATTGAAGGTCAGATAAGAGGTGGAGTACTACTTAAGTTATTTGAACCTGCCTGCAATCTTCAGGTTCGATGTTAGTGGTAATATCACTAGATCAAGCCCGTGTTAATGTTCGTAAGATTCTTTCTTTTTCAAGTAGAAAGAAATGCATCTACAGTGTCTACGATCAATTACGAATAAGACATTTTTGAACAGTGCCCGTTACATTACAAAGGATCCAGAATTTGAAATGGTTATCGCTCACATTGATAAGATATGTGCCAAAATTAAGACTATTTCCGCGGCTAGCTAGGAAATCTGCTGCATAATGACATTCTCTATAGACACGGGAGATTTTAACATCCCAACCAAAATTCAGTATTCGAATAATCTCGTGCACTAGAATGGCATGATGGTGGTCATACTCCTTGTTGTTTGAGATAATCCTAATGGCCGTTGTTGAATCCATACACATGATAGTTTTCTTGTACCCTGCTTTCCAGACACGTTTGATGAGGCCTACTTCTGCAGCTTTTAGCTCCGCTCGTGTAATTGAGCAAGTGTTCAGGTTAGTTGAGAAGGTGTCAAAACATCGACCTAAGCGATCCTGGATGTCCATGATCTAGAAGAGCAAGAAGTGCCAACATTTAGGTAATTATCTTCATCGAGAGTCATTGTCGGTATGATTAGAGATCCTAGATATTTCTTAATCCAGGATTAACATATTAACCAAATAAAACCAGACTTGAATCATTTTAAAAAATGATTCTATAGTGGTGGATGGATGCGTAATTAAGAACGATCCTCTCTTTAATATTTTGAAAGTTGAAACTATAATATATGTATTCATATATCAACAAAACATTGCAAGCGGCCAGACCAGAACATGATTAGCAGGGGTTAACAACGATCCGGTTCACATCGAACTCAATCGATATTTGGACTACATCATATCGGGTTGAATATATTTTTCAATTTGGTTATGATCCTATGAATTATTTTTAAGTATATATGAAAAGAAATGAACGAAATTGAATTTCGACTGAAGCTAATCGAAAACAAACATGCTTTTGATCCGATTATGATCCTCATTTTTTCTTTTGGTGCTAAATCAATTCGATACGGTTCTGAACTGAATCGGATGTCCTCCCCTCACTCTATATCGGACTTCATCATGGTCATGGTCATGGTCATATAGATTCTCTCTGTGTTGTCCCTGTTCGTCAACCGCGCGAAGAAGAAAAATGCTACAATGGAAGGTTGGAAGATAATTTACTCGAGCCCCACATCCAATTATGTATCGTTATTATATGAAGTAGCAGGTGAATCTTTTTCCTCCACTGACCCACCATTTATTTTTTCACTTTAAATCGATCATTGACTATTCAACACTCCTTCAAGTCAAGCTTTCTACAGTGATTATGTCGATCAAAGCCAAAAACTAGTAAACTGTGATTCCCATGATTGTTGTTGGTCTATGATTTCAATATAAGTAATTGCAATATAGACATTATTATCTCAGTATCGTACTAGCTCAACGTTTAAGCTATTTTTAAGTAAATTTTTAATAAAGTAGTTAGGGCTGTTAATGAACCAATTCGCTCATCATCCAACTCGAGTAAAACTTGTTCGACACTCGACTCACCTTCAATTGAGTGATCTTGCGAACAAGCTCGTTTGAAAATGAGCTGAGCTCAAGCCATGAATTGACGAGTTCAGCTCGATAATTTGGCGAACCAGCTCGAAGGCCTTTTAAGTGTTTGTTGTTCTATATAATGCAAACAAACAAACACACACACAAGAAGCTGAAATTCTGGGAAAGATGGGAGTGATAGCTAGCTCGTGAAATGAACCCGAATGGAGGCCCACCATCACTTCCCTTTGTCCGATGCTTTGTGACTTCTGAGCCTTAATGGCCATCTTCTACACTACCCACAAGATCAACAAACAAAAACCTACACAAATCCAAAAACACACCCATCAAAGTTCACAGTCTCTGAAAATGATGCAGACCAGGAGCAAGCGCCATACCCATCATACCAACACCTCCCTCTTGTCTCTGTTCTTCCTCCTCCTCCTCCTCCTCCTACCCACAACCAACACAGCCGCCGCCGCCGTCACAATCGGCGGCGGCGTCAGCGTCGGAATCGGCAATGCAGGTACAGGAGGCGTGTGGATCGGCGGCGGAGTCACCTCCCAAAACCCTAACCCTCCTGCCGGCTCGACCCTCGACGCCGCTTACTCTGCTCTCCAGGCCTGGAAAGCCGCAATCTCCGCCGACCCTTCCGGCGTCCTCGCCACGTGGGTCGGCCAGAATGTCTGCTCCTACAAAGGCATCTTCTGCAAACAACAATCCCCCTCTTCTTCCTCCACTCCCACCGTCACCGGAATAGATCTCAACCGTGCAAATCTCCAGGGAACCCTCGTCACCGAGCTTTCCCTCTTAACCGATTTGACCCTCCTCCACCTCAATTCCAACAGATTCCACGGCGCCGTCCCGGAGACATTCCGTGACCTAATTTCCCTCCAGGAATTAGACCTCAGCAACAACCAATTCTCCGGCGAGTTCCCTTCCTCCGTCCTCTACATCCCCAATCTCGTCTACCTCGACCTCCGATTCAACTCCTTCTCCGGCCCAATCCCCGACGCCCTCTTCGACAAGCGCCTCGACGCCATCTTCCTCAACAACAACCAATTCGACGGCGAAATCCCCGACAATCTCGGCAACTCCCCTGCCTCCGTCATCAATTTGGGCTACAACAAGTTCACCGGACAGATCCCCTTAAGCCTGGGGTTCATGAACTCGAGGCTCAAGGAGATTCTTTTCCTCAACAACCAGCTCACGGGGTGCGTCCCCGAAGGAATCGGGCTCTTCTCCCAGATGCAGGTTTTCGACGTCAGCTTCAATTCCCTGATGGGTCATTTGCCCGACACGGTGGCGTGCTTGAACGAGATCGAGGTTCTGAATTTGGCACACAATGAGCTTTCGGGTTCGCTCCCCGAGCTGGTCTGTTCGTTGCGGAGCCTGGTGAATTTGACGGTGGCGTACAATTTCTTTTCTGGGTTTAGTCAGGAGTGCGCGAAGCTGTTTGTGAGGAACGTCGGGTTTGATTTCGAGTCGAATTGTATCCCCGGGAGGGATATGCAGCGGCCGCAGCCGGAGTGCTCGTTGGTGCCCGGCGGTGGGTTGAGTTGTTTGAGGATTCCGGCGGCCCAGCCGCTGGTTTGTGGGTCGATTTTGGGTAGGGTTGGGGCCGGCGCCGATCGGCAGGTTCGGCCGGGACCAGGATCATCCTCTTCGCCGTGACATTTGGGGTAGGGTGGGTAATTTTGGGTTGACGGGTTGGGTTGGTTTGAGTTGACTGTTGTAAGTTGAATCATCAATCAGTATGTATATTAGTTGATGGGATGGGATCGGTTCATTTATGATTCTGAACTTCCTTCTTATCTTCTGGGTGGCTAACCGATCTTTCTCTCTGATTTATTGCTCTCGTGGTGGTTGGGATTTACTGGGAATGGTTTTTGGGAATGGTGCTTAATTAGTTATGTATGTGTTGGCAAATGGGAATGGAAGTAGAAATGATGGTGTTCACAAGAGTAGGGATGGCAATGGGTAGGATCGGGTGCGGGTTTACCCTATACCAACTCCTAATTCATCGGGTAGAGCTTTCTAAAATACCCGACCAAATAACCACCCGGTATGAAAATTACATAACCATACCCTACCCACCGGGTAACCATGGGTACGAATCCTAAACTATGAACTTATACACATATATGCATATATACTGTTGTCCATTAAAAATTCTCAATATTTGTAACTGTTCTAACTTCAACAATCCACACAAATAAAAACAGCAAACACATAATAATTGTTCTTGCTTCTACAATCCACACAAACATAATAATCGTCTACATGTTCTACATCAATAATGGTAGCTAAACTCAATTTCTCAAGCTAAAATAAATTTCTCAAGGGAAATTGACCCTTTGGTTAGCGGGGCGGGTATAACGGGGCGGGTATTATCGATTACCATACCCGTACCCTACCCTTTATTTTGAAACCGGGTATTACCCGTACCCGCCCCTTAACCCATCAAAGCGGGTAATTACCCTCGTTGACCGGTTACGGTCGGGTAGGGTACCCATGGTTACGGGTTGGATTGACATCCCTACAAGAGGGACCATTTTGTGGGCAATGAACCAGAAATGGTTAAGAAGGGACATCTTGTCGTGGGTTTCAATGGATTCAACTTTTTGGTCAAAACGCTTCAATGTTCCTGCTCAACTGAATGTAGATCGAAATTTGTAGGTGCTTATTCGATGTTAGAGCACGTTTGGAAGTTGTCATTGCGATTGTTAAATAGATGTATAAATAGATGTATTGTTGTGAACTTATGTATAATAATATGTATTGATGAATTTGATGAAATATATTAACAAATACAGCCCTGATGCAGTCGTGATTGATGCCAACGGCATTGGTGTACAAACCTATAGAGGATTTGGGATATTTTGTTACGGCAGAAAAAGGACAAAGTCGAGTCGATGACCATGAGTCCTATAGGAATCGTCGTATAGAACTATCCGTAAAATTTTCCGAGTGACTGTTGTTGTCACCAATCCCTAATCACGATGGCTTAATCCGAGATTTGAAATCTTTAGAAGCGTTTTGTGAGCCGAAGACGGGCAAATTAGCCCTAGAGTCTAAGAGGGTAAAAGGGACAGTGAGTACCGATTACTCTGATGCTCTCGCTTATACTTTTGCAGTAAATCCTGCGAGAAAGGATACCCAATATAGCCGAAGTATTGGTTTGGCATATGAGATAGTGTTAAAAGTTTAGATAAAACAATCTCCACTCAATAATCCCAACAATCTCAGCTAAAAAGTTAGATATGACAATCAATCATTTTGAGTGATAGTTTCCGTCACATTTCGAAAACAATGTGTTTACTTGAAAAAAAAAAGGATGCATTCTAAACAATAAGTGTAATAACAATCTCATAGAAACAATGAGGATTTTGTTAAAATTTGATTTAAAAAAAAAATAGATTTATGATGGATTTGTTGGTATTATAGATTTGATGAATCTATTTTTTGCTTGTTGGATTTATTATGGATTTTGTTTGATTATATTTGTGAGAAGCGATATGGTATTGGAAAATGAGGATTTTGATAAATTTTGGGTTTTAGAAAATTCAAGATTCATGATAGGCAATATAGATTTGAAGAATCTGTTGTTTCTTTGTTGGATTTTATTATGAATTTTGTTTGATTATATTTGTTGGTGTGATTAATTTTTACTCTCCTAAAATTGGCTATCAAGCAATGGACTTTGGGGCAAGTATATAATTTATTGGATTTAGGACCCAAATCTCTCACAAATCCATGAAGCAAATTAAAAACTACACTACCAAAAAGTTTACTCAAAAAATTTGTGTCTCAAAGATGTGATTGTAGGTAGGCATGACAACGAATCGGGTTGGGGCGAATAGTGCATATCCATTATTCTACTAACATAGTTAAAATCAAAATAATAACTAATGGAGTTTCAGATATCCACTACTATCGATGAGTAATAGTTTATCTTTATAAATTATAACTCCAACCATTAACATCCACACTTGTAGTGACATTACACAAGTGGAACGTAAGACAATAAATTGCTAGAATGAAAAAAATTAGTTAAAACAACATAATTTCATGAAAATATTATATATGTATAATATATATCACATATATTGAGAGAAAAAAACAATAACAATATCTAGACAAAATACATATACATGTGTATAATCAGGTGAGTTTGTGTTGAATAGTGAGAAACCTATTCATTATCCGTAATGTTCGCAATTGAATCTCACGAATTTGAATTGATATTCACAGATTTTTTTTCCATTTGACATTCCAAACTGTAGGTTGCAAAGTAAAGAAGATACACATCAGGTTAAAACAAATTGTACTACTGAAACATTTTTTATATTTAATTCAAAGTTTCCCCCCTCTCCTTTCGCATGCGCATTGTTAGGCTAAAAGCATATTCAACAAGTTCCTTGGGAAACAATCAAGCGTGAGCAGCTAACATGGGTCTTGTTGCAGACGAATGGGGCGTGCTAGCATATAGACAAACAGTGTCTTTTGTCATTCTCCGGTAGGGTTTATTCCATCTGCGTATCTCAGATGGCTGTCCCTTTGCATTATACAAATCAGACCTTAGATAGACACCAGGTCCATCGACTGTCTGTATCTAACACAACAGGTCACATGGATGAGTGCTCATCGCAATTCGGTCCGGAATCTGCAGCCAGGAAGCTGACGTTCGTTGACATCAGGACATCTTATCGCGTTTTACAACAGTGTGAATCACGCAACTATCATTGAACAATTATAGAACATGCAATTCAGTGTCGGTCACAGCTTTGTTGTATGATCAGTTTATTTCATATTAAAAAAACATATTCCCGTGGTGTACACAATCAAAACAACTCGTTTCCGTGCGATTTAATCAAACTCTTTTGATGTGATACTTGTGATGTCCTCATCCACACCAGAAGTTGGGTTTACCATTAACAGGAAAGGGTTCAGTTCTAGACTTCTAGTCCAATAAGCCAGCCTTCTTATAACTCTCCACAGAGTCCACCAGAGTTTCTTGCAGCGAAAGGTAACTCCAACCTAACCTCTGTAACTTTTCTGAACTCATTTCTTTCTTCTCTTGTCCATCTGTAAAGCTACCACCCACCAACAAAAATGTTAAACTGCATTAGCCACACTTGGAAAGGAGAGGCAGATAAGCAAAACTAAGAATGCGGAATCAAGCAGATGCATAAAACTATTGTTGCAGCGAAAGGTAACTCCAACCTAACCTCTGTAACTTTTCTGAACTCATTTCTTTCTTCTCTTGTCCATCTGTAAAGCTACCACCCACCAAAAAAAATGTTAAACTACATTAGCCACACTTGGAAAGGAGAGGCAGATAAGCAAAACTAAGAATGCCGAATCAAGCAGATGCATAAAACTATTGTTGCAGCGAAAGGTAACTCCAACCTAACCTCTGTAACTTTTCTGAACTCATTTCTTTCTTCTCTTGTCCATCTGTAAAGCCACCACCCACCAACAAAAATGTTAAACTGCATTAGCCACACTTGGAAAGGAGAGGCAGATAAGCAAAACTAAGAATGCCGAATCGAGCAGATGCATAAAACTATTGTTGAGAGTGGAATTTGAACCCACGCCCTTTCGGACCAGAACCTTAATCTGGCGCCTTAGACCAACTCGGCCATCTCAACTTGTTGATATCTAATATCTTAAGGTGCTTCTAGTATTAGTTCTATGCAGGATTAGTCAAGAAGAGTAATAGAACTATGAAGGGCTTACTTCTTAGGATAGTTGTAGCTGGGATATTTGTCCTTCAATATATCCACAATGTCCTTTATATGGACAGAATGTAAAGTACAGATGTATCTTCCTTGTGCCTCAGGCTTCTCGTACACCAGAACCAATGCTTCTGCTACATCGCACATCCACCACCCGGTGGTGCCAATTATCCGCCAAGTCCGGTCCTTCTGCATATGGCAGCGAATAGAGCTCATGAATGAGAATACATTACAGTTCTAGCTGCGGTAGCACAACAAAAGGGAAGATCGAAACCCATAAACCAACTTTGGAAGCAACTCAGCTACATGGATGGAAGCTTGACAATTCGCACACATGATATCAATGGCTGGCTACCTTTCAAAAGCTTGGCGAGAAGCAAGGTGCTTGCATTCGCGGTGGCCAGCAGGATTGGCCCGAGGATGAGATTGGGACAAACACTCACTACATCAAGTCCATTGGCTTTCCAAAACTCAAATGCCTTGCTCTCAGCTTCTGTCTTGGAGACACAGTACCATTTCTGCAGGCAACCAACAGTATAAAATTAACATGGTTCCCGTTAGAGTTTGGATACAAAAGCAAGCCGTTTTTTTTGTTCTTGTCATACCATTACTACCTATGAACCAATTCAATGAGAAGTTAAACACAGGGTCTTGTACTACTAATTAATAAAACATCATTGCTTTCTCCATAACCAGACCTCAATAGCTCTGCAATGTTCAATGTCGGACCAGCAAGACTCGTCCATGACCCGACTATCAGGCCAAGAAGGGTTCATCATAAGAGCAGCACCAGAAGACACAACCACAACTTGCTCGACCTTCGCTTCGAGGCATGCTTTCAGGACATTTAGGGTTCCTTTCACTGTAGAATTTGATGACGTGCAATTGAAACGAACACAGAGCATGAGAGTTTTACGTGGTATACTCGATCGATTGATTGATCGAGACTAATCCACGGTGAGCTCATAAGAGCTCACGTCTGATCTCTTATTAGGTTTACATTGTGACGGCTTGCTATCACACAAGTCGATGGCTAAGCTTATATAGATAAACTTAAGGTTAAAACCCTAATCCAACGAACCAGATGAGGCCCAAAAAGGCTCAATACTAACACGGTTTAAGTAACCACAACATTCACTGCTGGCTCGATCAAGTCAACCTAAGAACAGAGCTCGTGTGTGAGGAAAGTCGCTTCCTTTTGTTTGTGGGTCGCTGTAGATTGTAATCAATTGAAGAACCCAGAATCAGGGGAATAAGAAATAGGGAACTGGCCTGACCTGAGGGTTTGCCACAGAGGAAGAGGGAACAGGACTGGCGACATGGAAAACTCCCGAGCAGCCTTGAATTGCATAGAACAGAGATGAGTAGTCCAGTAAATCGGCCTTCACGAGCTTCAGATTCGAGGATGCGTTTGGGAGCTGCTTCAAGTGGGCATATTTTTCATCCACTGCAACATTCAAATTCAAAAGCCATTACTAATCAAATTGAAGTACTTCTAGTGAAGAAGATGCGTTTGATGAATTAAATTGGGGGTTTTATTGGTTGAAACTTACAGGGATCTCTGACGGTGCCTCGGACTGGATAGTTCTTGGAGAGGAGGAGATGAACAACCCAGGAGCCCAAGAAACCTCCGGTGCCGGTCACGCATACAGTTCCCTTCGCCATCGACATGAGATCGGACTCGGAGAGTGTGGGGAGGGAACGACGAGGTTTAATGTCTGAGGCTTCTCTGTAGCTTTTGAAAACCCATTTTGTAAGCTGCCATTGAAGAAGCTTGGTGGGGGCTTGCCACCGAATGCTGTTCTGTGTCCGAATCAGCCGCCATCTCCAAGTGGCATTAAGGCGAAATTCTTGACGCCAAGTCGTCAAGAGCGACCTGTGTTCTCATTATTGACGACGCAAGTGCTGACGTGGGTCGGTGCAGAGGCAGTGCTTTATTCACTTATTTTTTGTCAGTGAAGGACAAATTGGTTTGCCATTTTGAGAAATTGTAAGGGATTTATTTGATTCAATTGTATTGTTTTGGCCTTTTGGGTAATTGAATCAAATTGAATGTTCGGCCGCAGAAAATTTGACCCGATCAATTTGATTTTTCTGAATTGATCCGCTTTAAGTCAAATTTCAATTGTTTGGGATGGCAGTAGATAATAATTGTGAAATCACACTCGAGATTCTACCGAAAAGTTAGTAGTATAAAATTTATACTATAATCATGATTTAACCGTAATTCAACTATTTCGTACCACTAATCACTTATCATTTTGGGATACTTATCTAATATTTCTGGACCGTTCAAAAGGTAAAGTACGATTTCTAAAATATTGCTTACTAGACTTCCCCTTAAAACATTGAAAAACATGAGACTCATCGCACAAAGTTAGAAATCCACAAAGTTAGAAACCTTTCAAGCAAACTCCCTCAAGTCAAAAGTATACACCGAATGAACTGAAAGCATGATCCAACAGTCGATGCTCATTTGCGGTTAATGGAGAGCAGTATCTTGGAAAACTTCCACTCTGATTCGCAACACTCGCTCGCAGAAGAATTCAATTTAACTTTCATAACTTTAGACAAATTTCTAATCACCAATGCCTCTTATCCAGGCATCCTCCCTCAAGAGATTACTAATTAACTTGCGTGGAAACACCAAGGTGTATACATTAGTTGAAGGAAGGATTCAGCTCTAGTCCAAGAACCCTGCCTTCTTATAGCTCTCCACAGATTCAACAACAGTTTCTTGTAGTGCACGGTAACTCCAACCTAGACTCTGCAACTTTTTTGAGGTCGTTTCTTTCTTTTCCTGTCCCTCCTCAATAAACCTGCCAAAAAGAAAGAAAGGAACAAAAAAAAAAAAAAACGTTTCAAACTGGGATTCAAATTGTGTTCTTTCTAAACCAAAACCCTTAATGTGAACACAAAAAAACTAACTATTTCGAAGAACACGCGTATGCATGAACACCAAACTGCTTATAGTTTCATAAGGAAACTTACTTCTTGTGACGATTGTAGTCAGGGTATTTTTCCGTCACAATCTCAACCATGTCCTTAACACGAACCGAATGAGCCGAGCATATGTATCTTCCTTCCGCGTCCGGTTTCTCATACACCAAGACCAAAGCTTCGGCTACATCACGCACATCCACAACCATCCAATGCTTGTTCTCAACAGAGTCATGACCTCCTTCTGCGGTTACCGTAGCAAAACAGAGTCGATGAATGAACAAAACGGAAACCCTATTTTAACATCGTTCCAAACCATCACAGGGTACCTTTCAAAGCCATGGAGAGAACCAAGGTGCTTGCGTTCCTCGTTGGTTGCAAAACAGGTCCCATGATGAGATTGGGACAAACGGTTACTACATCGAGTCTGGTGGCTTTCCCATACTCAATCGCCTGACTCTCTGCTTCTGTCTTTGAAACTTGATACCATCTCTGTAGATGATGAACAGTAACAGGAAAAAATTTACATAAATTTACATTTTTTGATATATGATAGGTAGTGACGGAGCCACTTGAGACCAGATAATGTTCTTTCTAAGGATACTAATCTGTTTGATTTCGGTTAACCACTGAACAATATGATGGTTAGTGATTAACCAATAAGAGAGAAAAAAAATCAAAACCAATAACCAAATCGATAAACCTTATCGGTTGATTATAATCACACACCTGAGTAGCTCTGCAATATTCCACATCGGACCAGCAAGATTCGTCCATGGGTCGACTGCTGGGCCAGGCAGGGTTCATTATAACAGCAGCACCAGAAGAGACAACCACCACCCGCTTCACCTTCGTTTCGACGCACGCTTTAAGAACATTCAGTGTTCCAGTCACTGCCGGCTCGATGATCTCTACCTGAAAAAGAAGAAAAAAAAGACTGAAATTCTCTTCCGTTGAGATCAAGGAAAATTTTCGAGTCCTTTTAAGTTCAGTTTGTCAGGAGCTGTATAAATCAAAGGAAGAAGATCATGGTACTAGTAGGATATATACACTAGCCTGTGGATTCAGTACGACGGAGGAAAGAACAGGGCTGGCGACATGGAAGACACCGGAGCAGCCCTGAATTGCAGAAAGCAGAGAAGGGTAATCCAGTAATTCGGCCTTCACGAGCTCCAGATTCGTGGATGCGTTTGGGAGTTGCTTCAAGTGGGCATTCTTTGCGTCCACTTAAAAGAGCAAGTTTGGCAATCGGCAAGTCAGCACCGGCGGCGGCAGGATTGTTGATCTGAGAAATGTGGAAAAGGGAAACTTACAGGGGTCTCTGACGGTGCCGCGGACTAGATAGTTTTTGGAGAGCAGGTGGTGAACAACCCAAGAGCCTAAGAAACCTCCGGCGCCGGTCACGCAGACGGATTCCTTCCCCGTCGACATGATTAAGATTGTTCAATGAGATTGAGTAGAGTGGAATTTGGAAAGATTAGATTGAGTAGGAAAACCCCAAAAGCGGCCGTCCTTGCTTATGAATTAGTCAGAGTTGTGTTTTCTTGTTTTCGTTAAAGACATTCATTCTCCAATTCACACAAGAAAGTAAAAGGACAAATTGTTGTAGTGAGCATATGTTGGTGAAACTTTGAAAGGAGACCGAGTCGTTGTCACCTTCATTGGATGGTTCATCAAGGGATCTATTGCCCTGTGGCAGAGTAAGTTGATGATGAATTGATGATGTACGTTTGGGTTTTTTTTTTTTTTTTTTTTGACAAAGGTATGTTTGGGTTTCATTGATCGATTTCCTTCCAACCAAGATTGTTAAGGGAAGTTGCAAACGGAAGAGTCAGCGGTAGAATATTTTATATTGAAATCATGACCGTTTCATAACGCTAAAAATCACCCATTCATTTAGATTTCGGTAGAACGTGTTCTAGAACGAACCGCCAATACGGTACCGTCATACAAACATTGCTTCCAACTGCTTTTTTAGCTTGATGACTTAGCTGGTCTTTGGTTCTGATTGGATTATGCTCCAAAATTGTTTCTACTCCAGCTCAAAAGTTCTTGTTCACATCTATATATAAAACATTTTGGATGTTGTTGGGTGAAAGTTCCGCGTTGTCAAACCGATTTAAATCATTATGCCAATTTCGCAAGTAGTATGATTCAATTAGACTACAACTGGTTTATATGTTAGTTTTAACAAAACAAGGGTGAGCAAAGTGAGAAACCATTAACACCAAACGAAGAAGTATGCATAGTCTACTCTGCCCAAATGAAACAACAAACAAGCTTGGCAAATCTCCGAGTTCACTCTGCAGCTAGCTCGTCATGATTTGGCCTATCCGCCAGATACAAGTGTGCAATGCCAGGAATTTGAGGATCATCTGCAGAAAAACAAACCACTGAGTTCAGAAGTTTGATCGAACGTTCAGTTTTTGAATGGATCAGGCCAGCATCATTAGACTACAACACTATCATTACAAGGATCGGGGTTGGTGAAAATCGAGCTCACTGCAAGTAACACTTTAGTAATGGTGAGAGCTGGACTCCAGCTCTCTCTCAGCCAGGATGTCCATGTTTAGGTTGACAGCAGAATCGACATTATAATGGTAAATCCTGGTGTTGAATACTACCTGGAAAAAAGAAGTTTGTGATCAGACAAACTGATGAGGCGATTAGAGTTGGGAAGCAGAGATCATTTCTCCACTTGTTCAAGCCAGCAGCCAAAAGCATTTGCATTTGTTTCAACGCAGAAAGCGTAAACCTTTTGCTCCAAGTACAAATGAACTGAACAGGATCTTTACCTTTGGCGGTTTGAAGGGATAGTGGCTTGGAAACATTAATTATGTCAAGGAAAAATATACCACCTTGATAGGGTGTTCCTGCAGTAATGAGTCAAAGAAGGTCATCAGAGCCGGTTTGGCAGAGGTGAATGACGTTAAAATTTATAATAGTTAGATCCTTAAATCAACTACGATATATGAAATGAGAGAATCGCCAGATTCATGGAAGTAGGACATAAAGCAGCTTCTGTTCAATAACCATATGAAGCCTGCATTGAACGTAGTAACCAAAACCAAGAATGCAAAACATACATCAAAGTGATCAAATGGTTTAGTTCATGGAACTCAAGCGACAGGAAAACTAAGCAAGCCAACCAGAATGGCACTAAGCATGGCGCAAACATAGTAGAAGATGAGGTACCATGGAGTATGAAATTAGAGCTATACGATTCAAAGTGAAAAACAGACATTTGGGTGAGAATTGCTTATTGGGCACCGTGAAAGAGCAGGAAAACCTGTAGGGCCAGCCAATGCAATGATGGTGGAGAACTAGTGGTAGAGATTGTCGCCCTATGGAGCTGCAGAACAATCAGGCGGCGGATACATGCTGAACTCCGTTATCTCCCCTCTGTATCCTCTTCCCAACCCAAGAGTTATTCGCCGTCGCCGATGACGGCCCAGCGCAGAGACATCACGGCCTGAAAGCCTAGACATGCTTCGGACCAAGAAACTTCGCCAGGAATTCGAGGCAGACCTAGCAGCCGACGAAATTACAACTGAAATCACAACTCCCTGGAAACCATTTTCAGCTTATAGCACTGGGAGAATTCAGTGAGGTTCCCATCGGATTGAAGTTCCAACCAGGGCTCCTCTTTTCTTGCCAAGAAAATGAACCAACAGCGAGAATATTTCCCCACAGGGAAAACTTTAAAAATTCTCACTTTTTAGCATCTGCCGCCCAATCCCACTTGCTCGCCGTCGGGATCTCTAGCTCCGGCGTAACGGCAGGGGATATCCGTCAAGACAGGATTCCCGCTGATTGCGAAAAGTAAGGAAAGAGCTGAGCAAGGGTAATCTATTAGAGAGCGGCGGAAATGGTAAATGTGGTGGTGAGGGTTTCGGGTATCCACGATTATCAATTTGTAACAATTTATCTTGTAATTCCAACCAACATGTTAACATTCATATCTATATTGACTTTATATAAGTGGACCAGTATGACAATAAATCACTAGAATGAAGAAAGTTGGTTAAAAATAATATTTCACGACAATATGATATATATGTATACTAAATATCAAACATGTTGAGAAAAATAATAATTTCAAGACAAAATACATAGGCATGTGTATAATCGGATGGGTTTGAAATAGATAGTGAGCGAACTCGCCACTCATTATCCATAAAATTTGAATTTAGATTTTACTATTATCAGCTGAAAATTTTTCAAGTTCGAATTTTACCCTATCCAACAAGATTGGATGAGCTATCTGCCACGGTGGATATTTTTATTTGTAGGTAGTAAACATACAACATCAGGTTAAAACAAATTGTACGACCAAAACAATTTTTTTTTTTTAAGAAAATCAAAACATTTTTTAATTCATAGTTCCCCCCTTACGTGCGCAACGGGTCGCGCCGCCCACGAGCTAACACGACACTGCACGGTTAGAGCATGACACGAAATATATGGGCCGGTCCGGCACGAGCACGAATAATTCAAGGGTCGTGTCGGGCCTAAACTTTAAGAGCACAGGCACGGCATGGTCTGTAAGTGGGTTGTGTCGAGCCTAATATTTTCGAGAGCTTATTGAGTATAAGAACGAAAATGGAACGAAAAGAATATTTCTTTAATAGAAATAAATATAAAAAGAATTATAGGTTCAAATATTACAACATGCTATTACAAAATTAATTATTTATTGTTGTTAGAAGTGATCATAAAAATATATGCGTAATTACTACCAAAAGAAAAAACAGACGAATAATTAAACAAAGTTAAATCACACCACGATATACTTCCAATTTTCTTTTCCACCCCTTATTTGTTACATTTCTCAAATATCATCTGTTAATACTTACATTCTTCGCCCAATTTTATCCTTTTTTCATTTTCTTCCTTTTTAATTAGCACGATTATGAGTGCATCACGAGCAAAAATAGGCACGACACAATTCAAACCGTGCTCAGGCTTGGATCGAGCCTAGTAAAAATAACAAATAAACTGACACAACACGACACAAAAACTAACGGACCGTGCCAAGCACGACACGAAATAAATTGACACAAAGCGTGCTTGGACCGCGCCCACGTACATTTCCCCCACTCCATTCCCATGTGCATTGTAGGGTAAAAGCACAAACAACAAGTTCCTTGGGAAACAATCAAGCGTGAGAAGCTAACATGTGCCTTGTTGTCAGACGAATAATGCTAGAGTATTGAGTATTGACAATCAGTATCTTTTGTCATTCTCGGGTAGGGTTATATTATTCCATCTGCGTATCTGAGATGGCTGTCGCTCTGCCATTATACAAATCGGACCTTAGACACCAGGTCGGTCCATGGACGGTCCTTATCTAACACAACAAGTCACATGGATGAGTGCTAATCGCAGTTTCGTCCAGAATCCGCGGCCCGGGCCCCTAATGTTCGTCGATATCAAGGCGTCTTTATCGTGTTTTACGACCGTGCAGATCACGTAGCTATCGTTAAACAGTTATAAAACCTGCGATTCAATGTCGGTCGCAGCTTCGATGTATGATATTTTATCTACACAATATATAATAGTCGGAAGGGAAAAACTGTTGCTCCATTTCAAATTTCCTACAATGAGAGTCAAAGTAGGAAGGACATTTTGGTCTTCACAATTACTTTGTTTTATTTATTTATAAAAACACATGTGCTGGGATTCGAACCATGACCACTTTAAAGAAAAACTAGAATCATAACCAATCACACTAAGTACAATTGTAGTATCTTTTTAAATTACAAACATATAATAGTGTCAAAACCCTTTCCCCATTTCAAATTCCCTGCCCCATGAGCGTTTGTAAGAATGGTAGAATATGTAGTGTCAATTTTTTTTCTCTTTTCTCTGTGGAACGGACCAACTTACCATACACATGCGGACTTCAACAGGCTCAGGAATTGTTGCGGCCCAACAAAAACAAAACATGTTTTGTTTAGCCCTTTTATTTCTCGGTGTTGGTAAGATATATATGAAAGGGAAAAACAATACTCCTTTATTATTGCTAAAAAGGAAAATATTTAACAATAAACTAATGCATGGATTCTAATGGGCTAAAATATAATATATTTTAAAGTTATTAAATGCTTCAACCTCGACCAACCCAATTAATCCAATTTTTATAATTTTAAATATATATTATGTAATTATTTGATATCATAATGATTAAATTATAGTGTATTTTATAGGGAATCGCATGGTATTTGTTAGTAAAAAACTAAACAGAAAGATCCATTTGGTTATTTTTAACATTAAAACGATCCTAAACATTTTTAGTTTCCTTTCGAATTTTTATGGTTTTGTTCCCGAAGCAGTGATGTGCAAATGGCGAATTGTAGTCATCTCTTTTCTTTCATTATTTTTTATTTTCAAATAGAAAGTTTGAATGTAAAGAATAAATGGAGCTTGGCATGAGTCGATCAAATAGGCTGAATTTCAAATTTTGGCCCGTTTTGATCAAGTCTAATTAATAATCACATGGTTCTCTGACACCCGATAAAAATCTCAATCCAAACCAGTTCGGCAGCTGAGTCCGTGTTTACCATCATTTTCTAGGGATACAGGAACAATGGTTTCTATCCCAAATCGGGTTGTTCGGCCTTGATTTCTTTAGATTTTATCATGACCTGGGAAAAATCCGAAAGCACAATGACGACAAGATGAAAGTTTTATAACGAAAATTAATCGGCCAACGGGCGAAGTAAAATCTAGCAACGATTGTGAGATGCTCATTTCCCGAAGACCGGCGGGATAGGCGATTTTTTTCTTGAATTCGGTTTCTATAAAACTTACTCCACCTCATCATATTAACAGAAATAATACTATTTCATAAAGTAACAGGTACTCGAACTTGGTTTATAAGGTTGATTTTTTATTCGTTGCATCATTCATGACCATTTCTTGCTAAAATTCACTATTTTTATCATGTGATTCCAAAAAAAAACTATACAACAATACGTCATACACTGCATTACATTCTCAAATTTCATAGCTTATCTTCCTCCGGCCAACTGGCTGGGGCCCACGCTAGTTTAGCATAAACAACCAAATAGTTCAGTTCTAGTCCAATAAACCAGCCTTCTTATAACTCTCCACAGAGTCCACCAGGGTTTCTTGCAGTGAACGGTAGCTCCAGCCGAGCCTCTGCAACTTCTCTGAACTCATTTCTTTCTTCTGCTGTCCATCTGTAAAGCTGCCACTCACGAACAAGATTGTTGACTACATTAGCAGAGAGATAGATAACCAACTTAGAATGCCGAATTGAGCTGCGATAGCAGAAGCACAAAAACACTTGTTGAGAGTGGGATTTGAACCCACGCCCTTTCGGACCAGAACCTTAATCTGGCGCCTTAGACCAACTCGGCCATCTCAACTTGTTGATGTTTAACATTCTAATGTTTTTCTACTTCTAGGATTATCCACGATTATTCAAGCAAAATATTGAGATATGAAGGGCTTACTTCTTAGGATAGTTGTAGCTGGGATACTCGTCCTTTAAAATATCAACAATATCCTTAACATGGACTGAATGCGAAGTGCAGATGTATCTCCCTTGTGCCTCAGGCTTTTCGTACACCAGAACCAATGCTTCAGCTACATCCCGCACATCCACAATCCGGTGGTGCCTATTATCCTCCAAGTCATGTCCTTCTGCATATGAAGGCAAACAGAGCTCATGAATGAGAATACATTTATTGTTCTAGCTGCGGTAACACAACCGAAGCAAAGATCAAAACCCATAAACCAACTTTGGAAGCAACTTTGCTACATGGATGTAAGCAAACTCAGCGTAATCAGAACACGTTTTAGACATTCGCACACTGGATAGTAATGGCTGGCTACCTTTCAAAAGCTTGGCGAGAAGCAAGGAGCTTGCATTCGCCGTAGGCTGAAGGATTGGCCCGAAGATGAGATTGGGACAAGCACTTACTACATCAAGTCCATTGGCTTTCCCAAACTCAAATGCCTTGCTCTCAGCTTCTGTCTTGGAGGCACAGTACCAATTCTGCAGGCAACCAACAGTATAAGATTAACATGGGTTCCCATTAGAATTTGGATACAAAAGCAACCGTTTTTTGGTTCTTGTCATACCATTACTAACTATGAACCAATTCAATGAGACCCTAAACATAGGGTCTTATCCAACTATTTGACAAAAAAGCTTTATCGATATCCCTTTTTCTCCATAGGAGAGTAGTAATAACCAGACCTCAATAGCTCTGC